GGTTTTGTGTACTGGTTTTACATGCATTTTTATGATTTCTGTGCAAGACTTCTGAATTGGTACATGCAATCAGTTTATTTATTTATATTTTATTTTTATTTATTTCATTTATACCCCGCCTATCTAGTCAATTGTGACCACTCCAGGCGGCTAGTTTATATATTTTTGTATTGTTAATAAAATACTGATGGGAAAGAGTTTTGTCATTACAGTAAGAACTACGGCAGTACAATTATGGACAAAATTGCAATTTAGAACAGAAAATGAATATGAAAAAGAAGTGCCCTCAATTTTTAACAATGTAGCCAACAGGAGAAAAGAAGAGGCGGACTTATTGTTTGGGAATAATATGTAAGTTCTGCTCTCCTCTTGCAGTTTAAAAAGTTTTTTTTCCCTCTCTCTCTAGCTTTTAATCAATCCGATAACTGAAACAAAAGGATATGAAAGGTATGAAAGGTAGAAGGGAAATCTGAAAAGTCACAGCTGATAGATTTTTTTTAATTATGTTATTTTCTGCCAATGATCTTGGGCAAAATTCATTTAATTGTAGAAATCTCTAAGGAAACCAATACTTGGGGCTTTCATATAAATTGTAATAACATATCTGGATTTTATGATGCAGTGACATACATAAACTTCACTTTCTAGTTGCACTTTATTATTGTTGTTGTTGTTAACATTTGTACTCCACAGTTCCATTGACAAGCAACATTGAAAGTGGCTTGCAGTAGTCATAAAGGAATAAAAACAAGAAAAAACTAAATAACAAAATCATAAAAGCAAGTAACCTGCCCATAAAAAACTACTATAATCAACAAAATGTGAGTGTGCCGTTAAAAACAACACAGCAGGGAAAATTAAATATCATGTTCCAGCCTTACAGAATGTGTACTCGCACCTTTTTTAAAATCAGTCAGAGTGGAAATGATCACAAACTGGAAAGGACTGTATTCCATAATCTGGGAGGCATGCAGGACGAATAGCATCACAATAGTAAAAATTCTATTACTTGTTTGATTTAGTATTTATTTTTTCATAAATTACATCTACTTTGTTTGTATTAGTTAGTAGAAATCAAAACCACCCTAATCTAACATGATTTCAATCAGAGATATATTTTGGCAAAAAAGTATCTGCCAATGGCCACATTTTGTCTTAATGCTGTGATTGTCTTAATCTTAAAATATGTCTCAAAATATAAGGCAATTTTATTTTTCATTAATAATCTTTCTCATGCATTACTTTTACCTAAAATACAAAACGTCTGACAAACAGGTTTGAAAAACAAATGTGCATTCCTTTTACATAATTTTCAGCCGACAGAAGGAATGGTCTCAAAACTTTAAGCACTTATTTTAAGGAAAGTTGTATTTAAGAGACAGCCATACTGGGAAGTTTTGGAATTCTTGATTTTTGCAGCTTCTGTCTTTTAAAGCTATTTTCTGCTCTCCTGTTCCTTTGTGGGTACTGCAAATCTCAACAGAATCATTTCCCTTCAGTTCAACCACTCAGCAAGTTCAAGCTTCTTTTAACCTCAATCACACAATCTTACTAAAGACTCAAGTTGTTTCACCAGGAGGCAGTAAAGTGAAATAAGGGAGGGAACCTTTTAAAAAACCCAGCAACTTGGTCTTAGAAAATGCACTCAAGATCAAGAAGTTGAATGAACTTGCAGCTGATTTGGAGAACAAGGGAGGCACCAGCTGGTAGACTCAACATTATCTTTTTTTCTATCTTCTTCTTAAACTCCACCAGTACACACAGAGGGAGGACAGAAAGCCAAGAGGAAATGTCACTGTATCCCCAAGGAACTATAGAGTGCAGCACATGAGCACTGTTAGATCTCAGAACAACAGGGATACCCTCTGTCCGTCATCCACCCTGCCCGTTTTTGCCCAACAAACTTTTGTTGAGCTTTTAAGATCTTAATCAATCTTAACTCTGACCTCAAGATCACAAGGGGAAGATGGATGAGGAAGTAAATGACCTCTGACCCTCTGTGCATTTGTTCTGCCACATTCAGCAGGCTATAAAACAACTGTGGTAGACCGTGTTCACAAACTTTCATCCATAGGCTGTTGATGTGCTTCACTAAAATTTTCTGAATTTGAGAGGGCTTTTTTCTCTAACAGCATTCTTCCAGTTCTAAAACCACACACACTCCTACCACCATAAGAGATCTTGTAAAGTTACTTTCAAGAGGAACATATATTAATAGAATGCTGAAGTCATCCATAATTTCAGTGTGGTAGGAAAATACACTAGGACCCAGAGACAACACTTTCCCATTGCATGGGTTCAGCATGTCATTACATCTTTTCTTCTTAAAAGCAACCTCCGTAATTTAATTTTGTTCCCCTTAGGTTAGGAGCACAACAAATTTTACTAAGCCATAATAATCACCAATCACCAAGCAACACCTCAGCAAAAGTATCCAAATCTCAGATCATCTGCTTCACTGGCAAAATAACAAAGAATGTAATTTGGATTCAGAAGAATCATTAAGCAACAACTCCTAATAAAGCCTGGCTTTAGGAAAGATTATATATATCACATAGCAGATATACACATGACGTACACCTTGTACATACAACTGTGCATGGAACTAGAAGGAAGGTACAACTTCCTTCCAACTAATGAAATAATTTTGACAGTCTCCAGTCATTTGAATAGTTTCCATCGGGAGTAGCCATGTTAGCAGCAAAAACAAACATTTTATGGCACTTTAAAAGCTATCAAATTTTATTTGGCACAAGTTGCTGTTGTTGCTCCTACTGCTGCATATGATGAAGTAGGCTGCAGTCTACAAGAGCTTGCCACAAATATTTTTTTGGTTTTTGAAATGCCACAAGACCTATGCATTGTTCTTTTTAAAAAGATCTCTCTTTTTTTGTACTGACTTATTTTTTCTTCAAACAACTTCTTTAAAAAACCAACAACCTGGGAACGATTTTGATACAGAAGATACAAAACACAAAAGCATTCTCTGTTTCCTTCATACATGATCTCATCAAGATTTGCCACTAAACTGAGGTGTGAATCATCAGATATCATCTGTCCAACAAAGCCTAAGAGAGATTTTCCAGGTAGTTTCTCTGCATCGCAGCTACCTGACAATGTTTTGTTTTTACTGCCCATGCCGTATTCCTCAAAAAAGGTAACAAGTGGCTTTGTCCTCTCAACACTCTGTCTGTTATTCAATTAGGTAATAATGTGTGGGTCAATGATTAAGGAGTGTTTTAATTCCACATCAATCATGGTTAGCCAATACCGTCCCAACTTCCCTTTCTGCAAAATGTAATCTCTTAGCAATGGACAGCACTCCAGTTTTCAACCAACTCATTCCCTAGAATCTAAACCATACAAAAATAAATTTGTCTCCGGAATGGTTGATTGCAAATAGGAACAAAATAGCATTAAAATATATCTCTTAGACATTGACAGTCTCCTGAAATAATCCATTCAGCATGTCATCTGCCTGTTGGAAAGGATTTATTTGCTCTCAGGAAGCAAAGGTTTCCAAGCTCCTACCCACTCCAAGAGACAGAATAATTTACTACAGACATGATGCCCTGTCATTATATTAGTCTTTTCCCCCCAGTTCTCACTCCAACTCTCCATAATTGTGTTGCCAATGAGACATTTTCATCTCACCCTTCCCCCACTGACATGCATGTATCAAGTGAAAATTTGATAGCAAAGGAAAATGTTGATGCTCAGAGCTGCCTTCCTGCCAACTCTTTAATTCAATGCATAATAATGAACTTCACATTGTCCACAAATGATTATATAAAATAATTCCAGCTGAATATTCTTTATGGGAGTCAGCTGCCATTTCATACCTGTTTTGTGGGGAGGGGGCAAAAAGGTTTCTTTTTTTGTTGTTGTCTCTCATTAGTTTTATACATATCAGTTCTTATACAATTAACCTTGGCAAAGAAAATTAAAATGAATCAAAAGGAATCAAGCATTGCTCAACCCAATTCAATTTCATTGTTTTTAGCAACATATACAAAAAGCCATTCATTTATCTAGAAAAAAAAGCCCTCTATTAGAGACTGATCTTCAATATGTGACTAAAGGCATAATCATGTCTATAATTAGTAATAGACTATTTATAAAATCATTATAATGTATAACTATAAATAGCAGGGGCTCACAAGGGAGATTTAAATCTCTCCCCTCCTTTCCATTTTCTTTTCTTTAAAATAAGCTGTCTTTTAGAGGAACCCTAATCCCTAATTCCACAGAGGATAGGGAGAGGAGGGGGCAAACAGATGACTTCTTGCATTTCTTAGAGTCTCCTAGCAGGCTCTTTTGTAAAGGAAACAATAGAGACTTTCTGAGAAATAAAAATATTTCACAAAAGCGCCCATGTCACGTATTCAAGGATTATTTAGTGCCCGAATTCTCAAATGAGACACTAAAGAGTTAAATCTTCAGTGCTTAAAAGAGAACAGAAGAAAGTCCTGCTTTCTCTCAGGAAGGACAGAGCAAACTGTTGCTGTTGCATGCATTTACTTATTTACTCATTGTTTTATTTTCTTATAATTCTATCCTGCCTTTGTCTCCAAAAGGGACCAAAACACAGCTTTGTTATACCAGATAAAACGTCCTTGCCACAGCACATACACACACTTTTAAACTATTACTTTTCAGGCAGTAAAAAGAAGCCCTTCTGCTTTAAACACCGATGGCTCAGACACATAACTTACATATTCATTTAAATATGACTAGTGAGATATAAGCCAGCTTTCATCTAGACTCCAATGGCAAATGTGTTCTGCCTTCTGCCGATTATGGTGATGCCATTTGTTCTGATGGTATTACACACTCTTTAGCCTTGCCACCTGGAAGTGCTGGACTTCCTCATTAGACCCCTTCATCCCACTGCATTCCACAGGGACCACTAATTACTGGCTTTGTTCCATTTACTCTCATCTCTGATTCAATTATATACACCAGCCCCTAATGAACTGTACAATACAGCAGGCCCCTACCTTGGCATTCTCCATTACGCTCCTCATACCCAGCATTGCACAAGCAGTTGCCAATGGGTACGAGCCATTCACCATCTGCCCCACAGTACATTTTTGGCACATCCTTCTCTTCTGAATTGTTGACACACGAACCGCGAACTTCCACCAGAGAAGACGTATCAGCCCCAGTGATTGTGTCTGGAAACTGAGCCAAGTTGCGTACTGTCAGCGGACACTTCTTATAGAAAACACGGACTGAAACCAAGGCAATGCAAGCCCCTACATCCTGGAAAGCCAGATAGAATCCTTTCTTGCTTAATGGCCCCACATCACGGATCTCAGTGTTGAGCTTCATGATCCTGTCACCAATGTCCACTTGTGTGAAGCTCTCATCAGCAGCAATAGTGTCAATCTTGGCAAACTGGCTTTCCCGAATGAAACGTTCCTTGTCATTGCTTGACTCGTAGTAGTAAAGGTTAAAAGTCTCTTTGCAAGTCCCCATGACACCTGGCAGGCTGTTGCAGTCTCTCAGTGTGAACTTGATTTCAATATAAACCCTCTGAGCACCTTCGCGAGGAATCCAATCAGTTCGTAACCAATTGTTCTGATTCGGCTCCATCACATTGCAGACTTGATACGTGCGGATTGGAGTATTTTTCTCATCCATAATGCTCACTTCCTCCCACTGTGAGAGAACCAAAGGAAGAAATGTGAAATGGAATCATGAAAAAAGGTACAATCAAACCTCACCAAATAACTTAATTCCTTGTCCTCCAGTTATTTATTTATTTATTGCATTTATATGCCGCCTATCTAGACACATTAGCTTCACTAATGTGTACCTACGCCCATGCACCTCATTAATGCAAGCCACACAAGTTGGAAGCAACACATGAACTAAACCAATATACTAAGAGCAAATAAGCTATTAAAAGCTCCCTAGTTTAAAATCTCAGAGGAATGAGTTGTTGGTGCATCTTTTCTTTCCAAATGACTCAAAGAAAAAGTAAATCTGCTAATGGTCCACCATATTACTATCACATTCTGCATGACACGATGTGAACTTATTGGACTCACTAGTGAGAATTTTATAAAAGTGACCCAAACAAGCAAGCCCCCCTGCATATCAATGTTTAAGTAAGACACGCATCTACTGAGAAGTAAATCTAATTACATTCAGTGGGCCCTACTCTCAGGCAAATAAGTATAAGATTGCAATCTAAGAAACTTTTCATGCATCATTTATACCAATATTTATAAAACTTTCAAAAATAAATTGTATCTAGATCTTCACAATACCAGTTCAGTGTGCCTGGCAATACTCCTGGTTGCTATAACAATAGTTTGTATCCATCATCCTTACTGTCCAAAGTACTTTGCACATACTGTTCAGTGCTGACAGGGTTGAGGCTCAGTGGGTGAGCACATGCTCTGAAAGCAATAGATGCCGTGCTCAAATGCTGCCATTTCCAACTAGGACAGAGAGAAGCCCTTGTCTCAACAACAGGCAAACCATTACTTTGTACTTGCAGACCAACAGTCAACAGCCTTGGGCCAACCTGTTGCTCCTACCCTCCATGTTCATAGGCCTTGTTGGCTACTGGAAGTATAAACGAACATCAACTGATGCAAAGCTGAACTAATTAAACCAATGATCTGACTTAAAAATAAAGCAGCTCCCTATGTTCTTCTCATTTTAGTATCCCCCCCCCAAAAAGGGCCTACATATCTAGATCACAGATGTAGATGTGTGTGTGGGGGTACATGGCTTAGAACATGGCACCCTTGCCTAAGGCTGCCAAAGTAGTACAGAGGAAGCAAATCAGGGTTACTGCTAACTATCACCAACCAATAAGATCCAGGTGAACTCTACTGAGCTGTTCATTCCCATAGGGCTGCTATGGCTTTCCCACCATAAAAGAACTACCAGAATACAACAAAAAGTTGGTCTCAGGTTTAAATGGCAGGTAATCATATGAGCCAGGATCCAGGTATGCTTAGTTATTACACTGTAACATTTCAATGCAACTCTCTACTTTCCATGAACAACTGTGCCTATTTTCATCTCAAGTGGCAGCATGGTGGATATTTTGCTGTCAACAAATATTTATTATGGCCATGACATCAGCTAGGCAAAGGCCTCATTTGTGAAAAAGTGACACAGGATAATGGAGAAAGTGTACACAGTGTAATGGGGAACCATTTTTAATCCACAGCAACGTTTAACACTTGGTTCTTCAAAGCCAAGGATTATACATATATTAGATACTGGCACCATGCTTAAATAATCTCAGTGGAATCCAAGTACTGTATATTTAAATTTCTCTGGCTTACCCCCGAGAAATTCTGTCTTCAGATGCCAACGGATAAGATATTTCATAGTCTAAAAGAACTGTAGCAGCAGTAATAAAGTAACAGGCTGCACCTTAAAAATGTGTGCCGCTCAAATCACACACAGAGAAGGGAAAACACAATTCTACACTCAAACTAAGTCCCAAAATGAAGTCTCAATTAAGAGTGAATTTGACTCTATATTACTATGTAGTGTTCCAACAGGAGTGTGATAAACACATCATAAAAGAAAAGAAGAGTGGAAGTGGTCAGTAAGAGCTTTTTTGGGGGGGATGTTAAATGAGATTATGTTAATCACATGATACAGAGGAGAAAGCTACTGCTGTGGCCTTTTCTGTCTGTCCGTTTGGAAAAAGAAGCCTGGTTCTGCCGAATTAATGTTCAAAGGCAGGGCGGGAAAACCTTTTTCTTCCTTCATTTATGCACAATAATAGCTCTAGCTCTGGGATTCCAGCCTGTTCAAGTAAAACACATGGGATAAAAACTGGAATAAGGTTATAATGTAACCTTCAGGGGCTTCCTAACAAAGAACTATGTCATGCGTACTTTCCTGGGAGTAAGCCTCATTGAACTTTACGGGACACACTTTATGAGCAGAAGACATGGATTTTAATCCATGACCGCTCAGAATGAAATAAATCAGTTAGTCCTAAAAATGCCACAATACTTCTATGTTTGTTTCAACTTTGTTTTATTTTTTAGTAGACACACTTAGATCACATTGTATATATACTGATGAAAAGAGGCATTACATAACTTGAATGAATTATCTTCAAAACCAAGGAAGTTCATAAATAAGAAGGTGCACTTTAGCTTATACCGATTTAGGATAGCTGAATCTCTGTATAGATCTGTAGCAGTTAACACTCAGAGTCAGCAGAGCTGAGAGAATAATATTTGAGTTATTGCCAAGAGATACTTGAAAATTCAAAAGGGAATTGGGAAGGAAGAAATCAATACTCATTGTGTCAAACCATGTCACCAACAACAGGGAAAACTGGAAAGCCATCTCTTAGAGTAAAATGCTACCACGATGTGAGCAACACAGTTCTTTAATTTACAGCTGCCACAAAATGAGTATTGTGTTACCGTCCTGCCCTTTATGATCTATCACTTTCCCCTGTATTGTCCTGTAGTCTGGGAGGGAGCAGGGAGAGAAGAGGAGAGGGAAATAAGAATTGTCAACGGGATTTCCTTGAGCATGCTTACACAAAAGACGACTCAGGTTATAGGGCTGGCCCTGAAGCCTATTCAAATCTATGAAAAGAACATGGCTACATTCAGTGGATATGCACTACTCACAGGGTTTAGCTCTCTCTTTCTCCCGTTTGATTCTTCTTCCACAAATGTTGCTCATTTATTTGTTTGTAATTAGATCTTTAATATAGTATTGGATCCAAACAGTTGAATACACCAAAAACTGCACATGTGTTATCACCATTATCATGTTCTTCTTCAGTGTTACCATCAATAATGATAATTGTGTGGTTAAAGACAAAGCACACATTTTACTAATATTATTTTCTTTCAGTTTCTTGGAGCAACCCCTCTCCTGAATTAATAACCCACAGCAAAACCATGCATGCTTATCATTTTCTTTCAACTGTGAATTTTAAAAGTTAAATCATTAATTAAATTTATAATGTAATACACTCATTCCTCTAGGGCTATTATAGATTTAGTAATAGGTCTATTCACTGCTAAAGTGGCCTATTTTTATCTCCAGTGTCTCATATTAACACAGAAAATACTTCACACTTCAAGAATGGCCTGTTCTGGATCTATAAAAACGGGGGATTTTTGCAACATGTACTACGCCTACAGACAATATAAAAGGAAGCAGAGTTGATCTTTGAAGGCCACCTCTCTGGGTGTTCTTGAAAAGAGAGAAAAAAAGAAGAGAAGTATTCTTTGTCAGACACTTTTTCTTCACAAGTGAAAGCAAGAGAGAAATCATTTCCATCTGATCCTTTAAAAGAAATCTGCAGTCTAGGAAACTATTTTTAAAAAATATATTTCCTAGTAGATTTGAAGGCAGACAATGCTCTTTTGAACATTTCACTGCTAACTTCACAGCCTTGGTGAAACTAGCACTCTATAGGCTTTCTTCATTTCTCCAAATATTTCAGATTCAAAGAACAAATCAATCCACCTCTTCTACATGTTAATACAGAAATAAGGACAAATAAAAATCCATTTCCCACCTATTTATATTAAACTAATTGTGTCCTCTGATATATTGGACAGCTGACTGTACTCACAACAAATATATTTGAATTTTCAGAAGGGATGTTTTCTAGGTACACCAAAAGAAAGACTAATTTCATTGACCTTTGCAGGGTATAGGATTAACCAGGATGCCAGACTCTCTAAGATAAAGCTGTACTTTTTTCCACTGTCAAAAGATGAGGGCAATTGCCTGCAATCAGCAGTGACTATGTGCTGTCTGCACCGCCAGAGGCCTGCCAATCATTCCCTCTTTCTTGTTATTGAAGGGTAGGGGGATGGTTCTATGGCCAGCACTGTGTGAGTGCAGGCAGAGCACAACTTGACTGCAGTCAAGTTCAGGCTGAGTAACAATAGAAACAGGACAATACTTCATTTTCCCAAGATAGGGCTAATTCATAGCTTATGCATAATGTATTACTAAATAAACAGCCTCACATGTTATCCTTTTTCCTCTCTCTTTGTCTTTAATTACAGGAACGAGGAATGTTAACCTATAGAATATCTGATGAACACACTGTAAAAACCCGCTTATGCTTATTAAATATCTGGTAATGTTTTAAGACTTCAGTTTGTAATTACTTCGACTTAGTTAGGCATCCATTGTTTGCCTTTAAACACGGTAAGAAGAGCCTCCATTTAATTTTAAAGGGATTTGCAAGTATTTGAATGCAACTGCAAACACCATGTGCAGGGATGATATTCTCCCCACCACCACCACCACCACCTCCAAAGAAATTATTCTTAATATCCTACGTGTGTGGCAGTGAAAACAGGTCTATGTTTTCCTTAATTAATAAAATTCCTGATCCTGTGACATGCTGAGTACTCTTGGTTACCCAAAAACATATGATACAAATTATGGTCTACTCAGCAGTTGCTCAGCACCACCACTGTGGACTGGCTGCATGCTATTTATCTACCAATCCTTTGCTAAATTAGAAGTGAAGGTCTGCACAGAGCTGGCTAAGCTACGATCTCTTTCTCTCCCACTATCCAAATCTGCAACTGCGTTAAACATTCCCCATTCACCAGTGGATTAGATGGAGCTCTTGCTCTGCTTCCGCTTGTAGAATTTGCTGCCACCTCCCAAAAGCAGACATTTTGATAGATGTTTTTAAAAAGGAAACTTGTGAACTAGAATATCGACTTGGACAGCATCTGTTTTTCATTCACTGAGAAGATAAATCTATTAAAGACTGTTGCTTCATTTCTCTGGGACAGTTTTAGGTATGAAGAAACCCGCCCCTCTGTCTGAGAACCGGATAGCATTTATATTAGCTGTGACAGTACTCCAATAGTAAAGTGGATTTTTACCAGTTGTAAGTATGGTCACTTCCAGTGTGAAATGGTAAATAACTGTATCATCTATGCTTAAACCAGACACTTGGCATTTCAATGTAGTATCCATGTATGGAAATAAATAGTAATAAAGACATTTGAAAATACATTAAGTTTCAATTATCATTAAATGACCATTATACATTTTCTCTTGTATCTCAATTTTAAAACACACAGCTAGAGGTGCAATCTGAGGCACATCTACCTTGGCAGCAATCCACATTGGTAGATCTTATTCTTATATAAACAAGCACAGGACTGAACTCAAGAAAACCTCTCTTACTATAAAGTAAATATCATCAAATTATATAGGATTTCTCCTGAAGGAACACATTTAGGATTAGCATGTAAACATGTCTTCTTTGAGCAATATTCAGAAGGTGCCCTTCCTTTGTAATTCTTTCATGGAGAAGCTAGCTATGCGAAGCTTAAGGTTTCAGCAAACAAATGTAATTCACATCACAGACCATGAAAAAAATCTGACCTTTTCTCCCTAATCCATAACCACCAAGCCATTAGGATTCTCCAGAAATGGCTAATCATTGCCTTTTACTCTCGCAATCAGAGGAAGATTGAGAACTTACCCCTCCTTCCAATGGGCTTGCTATCCACCCAAGCTCACCCTGGACCGATCTGGAATCCAGCAAGGTAACTGTGAAAATAAGAGGGGCAGGAGGAAACATCAACACATAAATATTAAGTTCCACTTAACTCATTTATGCAACTATGAGAAGATCCAACTCAACATTTAAATGAAATGTTTTTCTTCCACAGCTATGCCAATGTATAATTACAAAACCAAAGAAAAACCTCATTCACTTTGTCGAGTTGATCCAGATAAATGCACAATCCTATGCACATTTACTGAATTCAGAAAGACTTCAGTCTGAAAAAAATGACTGATCTGAACCAAAATGAAAAGGATTTCTGTTGTATGCTTAAGTGCAAATTACTCACTTAAGTCACCTAAGTTAGCCGCACATGACTTGTTTAAATACAGCAGACTTTGATATGAATAGAGGCCAGCAGCATGCCTGGTCACACATCTGATTAACCTTTGCAGCTCACCTATCAAGCAAACTAGTTTCAGTATCCTCACATTGCAAATAATGACGGAGTTACATTGCTAAGATGTGAGCACTAGAGCCCAGGGGACACCTAGTGATTCTTGGTGGCTAAATTCATATTTGAACTCATAACTTCCACGCTCATTCTTAACTACAGAATAGATGCTTCAAAGGCAGTTCCAGTTGCTCTGACACTTGTATCCAAACTGAAGAAAGAAATGTAGAGACAAAAGTACTGTAGTACTACTAATCAGCAATTCTTTCATTCAGTCCCAAACCGTGCTGTACTGGCTGCACAAGCCTGTTAAATCAGAAGTAAATCCTACTGTGCTCAAAAGGATGTATTTCCAGACCAAGTGTACACGTCCCAAACCGTGCTGTACTGGCTGCACAATCCTGTTAAATCAGAAGTAAATCCTAGAGGCAGGCAGTACAGAGCCTTTTTTGAGTTCTAGCGGGCTAGCTCACGAAACAGTATGTTTTAGGTTTGTGACATTTGAGGAACAAAGTGAAGAAAAGGCCCAAGGGACAGGTGACCATAAAACCATCAAGGCCAGGCTTTAACACTAAGATTCTTTGGCAGTTGAATGACAAGTTAAGGACATTTATTACAAAACAAATGGAATTATTTCCACCTTTTGGGACTTTGCTTCAGGAAATAGACGTCTTTTAGAAATATGCTGGTAAATTTCAGAAGCAAGTGCAGTATAAAGCTTGGCACATAGTTTTCTTCTAACAGGTGTATCAATGCCACCCGAAGTATCAGGCCCAGAACCTTCTGGTTCTTCAATGACATTCACACACACTCACACTGACACACTGACTCACTCACTCACTCACTCACTCACTCACACACACACACACACACACAAGGAAAGAAAGAAAAACCAAAACCCCACTAGGTCAATTTTAATTTCTCTCTCACCTAAGAGAGTTAAGTGTGAGGGACTGAGTGTTTGGAAACAGTTTCGGATGGGATGCCAACTGGAAGGGAAACAACGAGGTGAGAGACCACAAGGCAAACAGCTTCTCTAGCGGCCCAGTGTCACATTCGCTGTGCTCCTGAAAAACGACAAGGAGTAAGAGCGGGTGGTGTTCTAAGAGTGAAAAATGGCTCCCCTGGTGCAGATTTGACTTAAAAGATGCTCAGACGGATTCAGTGAAATCTCAGCAGCTCAATTTTTCTTCCCGAGGGTGGGTTTGCAAGCCTATGAAACCACAGGTTCAAAATGAATCAAAAATAAGGGGGCTTCAAGTCTAACAAATAAGTGGAGTGGAAGAGATTTCCTATGCACTTTGGTGGCTTCAGAACAGGGAGATTCCAGTCCATGAAGATAATCTGCACTTCTCTTTAAAAAAATGTTTTCCCTCTGCATTTCAGAAGATCAAGAACTACCAAATATGACAGGTTTTAAATTTTACTTTTTGTTTTTCAACGAGGACCAGCCTCCCTCGTGGCCCCCCTTCTCCACTCAACCAGCTCCACTTCTGCGCCAGAGAGGGCAGTACCCAAGTCCTATACAGAGACCATTAAAGGGGCGCGGGGGGTGGGGGGATCAACTGCTGCTGATAAAGAGCTTCATGGAAAGCAAAGGTGGGGAGGGCAGTGCGGTGAACGAGGGAAACAAAATGGGCTGCAGGAGTAAGCCAGGTCGCTCTCAACCAGGGGCGAATCAACCTGCGATGGAACTCCTTTGCTGCTCTGCGTGGTCAAGTTCAGGCCGCTCGCTGGCTCCATTTTGGGTTCCACAGCCAGGTGATCTTCTGATACCACGACCAGGTGGCCCTAACCTCTTCTCGGGGCTAAATCAGGAACAGCAGGCTCCCTCCCCGTTTCAAGAAAACAGTCTTTCTTCGACATGCGCCCCCCCCCGCCCTCCAGACCTTTAGAGGGTTGTAGGGAGACGAGGGGGAGCGGGGGCGCCACCGTGCGCGCGGGCTTACACACTTACACACACACACACACACACACAGGCACGCACTTTCATGGCAAGTCAAGCTACTTCGGGAGCGTTGAAGGGCCACCTCCACGCGTGTTCGTCAAGCAAGGCCGTCCCTTGAGCCACGCGCGTGTGAGTGCTCGTGTGTGTGTGTGTGTGTGTATGCGCGCGCCCGCGCGCCACCCGATTATGCAACATCTGGCTTCCAAATATCAAGGCCGTCCGTCTTCCTTTCGTTCTGTCACACCGTCTCGGAAAGACGAAGGTCGCGCTCTGGGTTTTTTCCCCCCCCCTTTTTATTTTATTTTTTGGTGCGCGCTTTCAAAAGAGCCCCGTCCATCTTCGCTAAGCAGGTGATGAAGGGGAGGGGATGTGGATGTACGTGAGAAATTAAGAAGGACCGCCTCCAACTTTAGGACTCCGGTTGTTGTTTCCCCCCCAAAAAGAAATAAGGTGGGTTCGATCCGGACGAGAACATGGACAGATATCCAAGGAGAGAGAGAGAGAGAGAAGGCTCCCTCTGGTCCCACCGGCGAAGCGGGACTTTTTTTTCCTTCCGAAGCGATCCAGTCCGGCGGCTGCGAGGCGTCTGGGCTGGCCGTGGAAATCCAGGTCAAGCTCCCACGCGGTTTTGCGAGGGGCCACGTCTGCGGCAAACTCCGCTCCGGCAAGGCGAGGCGAAGCAAGCCCGGCCAGCCGTGCCCGCTGCCCCGGACCCTCCGGCTCCGCACGTTACTCGCCAACCCGGGGAATGAAGGGGAGCCGCGGGCAGGACACGGGCGAGGAGGG